GGAGCATTTTAAAAGGAAAATATAGAGAGGCTGACTTTCTAATGGGCGCTACCAAAGGCAGACCTTGTGGGACAGTTGTTGATAGTGAGCCCTTCAAGAAGTGATCCCGGAGAATAGAGGCTATCCTCAGATCAGGTAAGGAGGTAGGATTCCCAGAGTGGCAACTTTGTCTTGTGAAGGTGAAAATACAGAAGAGAGGGCTCAGTTACATATTATTGGCAAGTGGATTCCACATTTATATTTGTTAGTATTCTTTCAGTTATATGTGCCAGACACTTAAACTAGCTTAAATAAAATGAGACATTATTAACCAGCTCAAGAAATGGAAAAATTTGGGGTTAGGTCAAGTAAGGCTTAATCTGTACCAAAAATCTCAAATCTCAATATTTTTAGGTATCTGCCTCTTGCTTTCTATATTTGGTTTCCTCTGGTATTTGCTTCATAAGAAAGCAGGTTCTTCATAAAAGGTGGCGATAATGGATCACTAAAACATCTGTCTTACATCCCATCAGGTTAGCAGTTTTAGCATTTAGCAAGAATCTTGAAGGTGAGTCTTTTCCCAATTTGGCTTTGTGGGTCTTTGAATCAGTGAGGGGAATAGAGTGTTTCTGTTTAAGCTTGGATTATGTGCCCCTACCTAGTGCCTGCTGAATCATATGGATTGAAAGATGGGGAGAAATTATTGCCCAAAGGAAAATGGGGGTGCTGTTACCAGAGGAAGGGGGAAATAGTGGGCAAAACCAACAGAGTTTCATTATGCTGTCTTTGTACTGCTCCTGCATATATTCCTCACACATGCTAGGCATTATTTTTTTTATATGTGTATTTTAGTTATAGTTATATGCTTAAGGTTATGTTTTGAAAAGGCCTTACCATTTAATGTGTGGAGAAAAACATTCATATTTCTTTGTTTAAAAAAGAATTTTTTTTAGTTGTAGATGGACACAATACTTTATTTTTTATGTGGTGCTGAGGATCAAACCCAGTGCCTTCCACATGCGAGGCGAGCACTGTACCACTGGGCTACAACCTCAGCCCTCATATTTCTTAAACAGCTAAAACTCAAAGAAATGCCTCTTATTTAAATGCTAGTTACCCCTCATCCATCCAAATCCTACTCATCTTTATGATCTGGCTCAAATGTGGATTCTTGTATAAGAACATTTTCTTCTGAATTCCTAGAGTCTTTCTTATCCATGGATTGGGCAGCTAATGATCTTGTATCTTTTTTTTTTTTTTTGTGGTACTAGGAATTGAATTAGGAGTACTTTAGTGCACTGAGCCACATCCCCAATCCTTTTTATTTTTATTTTGAGATAGGTTCTTTCTAAGTTGTCAAGGCTGACCTTGAATTTATGATCTTCCTGTCTCAGTCTCCAGAGCAGCTGGGGTTATAGGTGTGTATCACTACACTCAGATTGTATCATCTTTTTGTGTTGTGGTCTTTAGCTACTATTTAAAATTTTATAATGCTTAGTGAAATTTAAGCTCTTTGGAGTTTAAAGACTTATTTTCTTATCCCTATACCTTCCTATATCTTTTTTTTTTTTTTGGTGGAGGGAGGTGCAGGTTAGGGATGGAACTGACATCCTCACACATGCTAGGCAAGCACTGTACCACTGAGCCACATCCCAGCCCACTTTACAATATCTTAAAATTGTTGGATTGATTTTAAATGATCATATGAGTGATTTTTTTTTTTTTGTTGTTGTTCAGTTTCTTTGTCTCAGAGAACCATTTACTTTTTTATGTTAGTTGATAAAGACTGGTGGTTAGTTATGTAGTATATGAGTCTCTCTGGCAGGCTAAAAGTATAGACAAAATCTTAAGAATTTTTAGTATGTGAATTTGTGTAGATAGGAACAAGTCATGTGCCTGAGCAAAAAGCATTAGCTGTCCACTGGGGAGAATGTATCTTTTGGGACTTTGGAACAAATGAATATAGAAATAGTCTTGTAGAACTGAATCTTATCATACATAGAAGTATTTCTAGTTTTAATTGCCTGAGACTCATGGTGTTAAAGTATGTAGGGAAAAGAAGCTCACCAAGCTGTGACTCTATTTTTTTGAGGATAAACAGCTTTTAGATAAATGATAAGAGGGAAACTATACTGTCAGTGAAGTGACCTAGGAATTTTCTTCAATTAATCAGGGAACTTTGATGCTACTTTTCAAATACAGTTAACCTCTTTCCTATTGTATACCAACTTGGGAGAGAAGAATTAGGTGTCTTGTAACACCCAAAAGGATAAAAGTTACCAAGCAAATAAGTCAATAAATTGGCTTTTTAAAAAAATCTTTTATTTAGTTTTTTTAAATTATAGTTGGACACAATACCTTAAAAAAAAAAAAATATATATATATATATATATATATATATAATTTTAGTTATAGGTGGACACGATGTCTTTATTTTACCTTATGTGGTGCTGAGGATCAAACCCAGTGCCTCATACATGCTAGGCAAACGTTCTACCTCTGAGACGCAACCCCAACCCCTTTAAAATTTATTTTTAAAATTTGAAATGAAGTCTCCGCATGTTGCCCAGGTTAGTCTCAAACTCCTTGGATTCAAGGAATCCTGTTTCAGCCTTGCAAGTAACTGGGACTCTATGTGTGCGTCATAGTGCCCAGCAATAAATCAGCATTATTGATACTCTGAGAAGTATAATTAACCATCTTCACTGAGAACAAAACATTGTCATTCCACAGAACAAAGTCTTAGGTGTCCAAAAATGTTTAAGAAGGTAAGCAATCAAGAATTTTTTTTTTTTTTTATTTCTAGATAGTTTGTCGGTTTAGTTTAGGTCAGGTTGCTCTAGTAGCTTGAAATTAATTTAAGTTGAATAGTATTGGGAGTCTAAATTAGAGATAGCAAGTTCACATTACAAAAGCTTGGACAGTGCCTCTTAAGGGCAGACCTGAGTGTGTAAATGTTTTAAAATTTTATCTAAGATATTAGATACTGTTTCCTGAAATCTTGTAGTACTTACTTATCAACCTTGAATTATTTCTGGTATTAACAAAAACCTGCCAGCTTGGGCACATGGGGCCTGTTTTGTCTTCTGTATATTCAACTTTCATGATACCTACTTAAATTTGATATTCAGAAAGCTATGCAGTCTTTTCACTGATACTTGTATGCATATTTTCCTCCCCAATAAAGTGGCATATTTAAAATCATGTTTCAGAGCCTGCTAGAATTGAAGAAGCAGTAAGAGAGTACATACTTCTCTCAGAGTGGTAAGTTGGGCTTAGACAACTTTAAATATAGCTCATATTTTGGTAGATGCTGCCAAGGTTGTGGTTCTTGGAGAACAAATCAAGTTAAGCAATTCACTGGGGAGGAAATATTTAGTTTTGTGGGTATGCAGTTTTGGTTGTAGTCAGCCAGAAAATACATTTGCAGAATGTAGGATTTTTTTTCACTGCCTTGAATTTTGCAAATTCATAGGTTCAACATGCCTAAAAAGCACTTGCATTTCATTTTTCTGTAATTGATTTTTCAGCTGTGGATTCTGTTTCCAGTCCTTTTATGAAGCATATCACCTTACATGCAGAGTACCATCTAGTGGTAGAAGCAGAAATTGTAGATTATAAGTAGGTTATCAAAATTTCTCTTTTTGTGGGGTCTTACCTCTATGATTCTTTAGGATATCTGGCTGGAGCCCTTGTTATCTCTGTATGCCTACAAACCTAGCTACAAATTCTCCTGGTTCTGACCATATCTATGCAAAACCTTTTTATAGGGGTGCCAGAAGTCAAACACAGGGTTCTGCTGTGCCAGGTTAAGTGCTTTACCTTTGAGCCACATCCTCAGCCCTGCAAAAACTTCTATAATAAGGAAATTCACTTTTAATATATACTTTGGTTTTCTATGATTTTTTAATTTTTACTTTTTTGGTGCTGGGGATCAAAGCCAGGGTCTTTCATGTGGTAACACACGTTTTGTGAACTACACTGTACTTAGCACCTCTATGATATTTATATCAAGTTGTATGGAGATGTAGGCAAAAACTTCTTGATTTCTTTAAGAAAAATTATCATGAAATGTTGATCATACATACAAATATATAGAATAATATAACCAATACTCTTTTCCATCACCCAGCTTCAGTAATATTTTTTTTTTCTGGTACCAGGAATTGAACCCAGGCTGCTTAACCACTGAGCAGCATCCCCGACCCTTTTCACTTTTTATTTTGAGGCAGGGTCTTGCTCTATAAGGCCAACCTCGGCAACTTAGTGGGGCCCTAAGCAACTTAGCAAGACCCTGCCTCAGCCTCCCAAATTGCTGGGATTATAGATGTGTGTCATCATTCCCAGCACAATGGACATTCTTGTTTGTAGTTTTTGGTGGCATGTGTTAGGTATGGAATAGAATTGTTGGATCATAGATATACGCTTTGTTTAACTTTAGTAGAGAAGACCAGTTTTTCAAAACAATCACATCAATATGTAGCACTAGTATCAATATAAGACAGTTCCTGGACTGGAGTTGTAGCTCAGGGGTAGAGTGCTTGCCTAGCACATGTGAGGCACTGACTTTGATCCTCAGCACCACGTATAAATAAATAAATAAAATAAAGGTATTGTGTGTATTTTTACACACACACACATCTATATGTATGAGTTCTCATTGCTTTCTCCTAAACCTTGGTAGGGTCAACCTCTAATTGTGTGTGTGTGTGTGTGTTAGTAGGGATTGAGCATGCTAGGCAGGTGCTACATCCACTGTGCTACATCCCCAGTCTTTATATTTTATTTTAGCTGGGATCTCACTAACTTGCTGAGGCTGGCCATGAACTTGGTGATCCTTCTACCTTAGCCTCTCAAGTAGCTGGGATGACAGATAAGTGTTACCACATCTGGCACAATCTCTTTAATTTTTGCCATTCTAGTGGGTAATAGTATATCATTGTTCTAATTTGCATTTTCCTGATGTCTAATATGATTGAGCTTTTTTCAAAGTTAACCATTTGGCTATCTTAAAAATCCTATCATCAGGTAGGATAATCCTTACCGTTCCTCCTTCTAGAGGGCAGATGGAACATGGTGATTGGAGTTCATGGGATATTTGATTAGTGTTTCTGCATAATCACGACTTCCAACACCCTGATTAATTCTACCTATCTGATTCTTAAAAAAAAAAATAAATAAATAGATAAATAAAACCCCATGCGGGGGCTGGGATTGTGGCTCAGGAGTAGAGCACTCGCCTAGCACAGGCAGGACCCGGGTTTGATCCTCATCACCACATAAAAATAAAGGCATTGTGTTGTGTTCATCTACACCAAAAAATAAATATTTAAAAATAAATCCCATGCCCATTTTTAAATTGGATTATTTATAAAAATTCTTATCAATCTGTGGAGATTCCTTTTTTTTTTGGGTAGTAGAGATTGAACCCAGGGGGTACATTCCAAGCCCTTTTAATTTCTTAATTTGAGACAGGGTCTTTCTAATTTGTTCAGGCTCACCTTGGATTTGCAATCCTCCTGCCTCAGCCTCCTGAATAGCTGGAGTTATAGGTTTGTGCCACTTTGCCTGGAGCCAATTCTTTTTTGTACTAAGGATTTTACCCAGGAGTGCTTTACCACTGAGCCACATCTCCAGCCCTTTTAATGTTTTATTTTGAGACAGGGTCTCACTAAATTTCTTAGGTCCTGCTAAATTTTGAGGCTGGCCTTAACCTTGGTGATCCTCCTGCCTCAGCCTTCTGAGTCGCTGGGATTACATGTGTGGTCCACTGCACCTGGTTGCAAATTCTTTTTTTTTTTTTTCTTTAAATATTTATTCTTAAGTTTTTTTTTTAGGTGGACACAGTATCTTTATTTTACATTTATGTGGTGCTGAGGATCGAACCCAGTGCCTCGCCTCGTGCATGCTAGGTGAGCACTGTACCACTGAGCCACAACCCCAGCCCTGCAAATTCTTGATATATTCAGGATATGAGTTCCTTTTTGATTATTTATATTGCATATATATTTTCCCATCCTGTGTTTATTCATGTCTTTTGATAAACACACTCTTATTTTAATGAAGTCAAGTATATTAATATTTTTCTTTTTAACTATTTTTTTAGGTCTTATTTAAAAATTATTTCCTCACTTTGAGTTTAAGAATATGTTCCTTTGAAGCAAATGTATGATATGTCAAGATCATTGTATTGTCTTGAACAACTAATAGAAAAAAAAAAAGAAAAAAAAATTATGTAAAACTATGTATTTGCCAAAGTTTGAGTTTCTTATTTTCTTTCATAGTGAATTTGTCTATTATTTATAAAGATAATTATGCTTTTAAAAAAAGAATATGTTCCTTTTTAAAAATATTTTTTAAGTTATACATGGACAGAATTTCTTTATTTTGTTGTTTGTTTATTTTTATGTGGTGCTAAGGCGAGTGCTCTGCCACAGAGCCACAACCCCAGCCCAAGAGTATGTTTTTCTGTTTTCTTCTAAGATGCTATTGTTTTGTTGTTAGATCTACAGTTCACCTGGAACTGATTTTTGTGTATAGTGTGAGGTAGGAATTGATTTTCATTTTTTTCCCCTGTAGATATCCAAGCGTCCCAGTGAAAATGTCATACATTTCCAGTGATTTTCAGTGTCACCTTTGTCCTGAATTAAAGAAAACAGAAGAAAGTAATAAAGATAAGAGCAGAAGCTAATGAAATGAACAAACAAATAGTAGAGAGGTTCAGTAAAACCAAAAGTTGGAATCTTGACAAAGCTAATGAAATTGATGACCATTAATAATCATAACTTTAATAAAGAGAGAACACACATATTACCAGTATTAGGAATAAAGATTTGGAATTTATTGCTCTGGAACCTATATTCCTTAAAATGAAGAGGATACTATAAATAAGTTTATGCCAATAAAGTTTAAAATGTTATATGAAATAAGTTTTAAATTTTACTGTAGATACATTTATCACCCTTTTTTTGTGGATTGTGCTTTTTACATCCTCTTTAAGAAACTCTTGGCTGGTGCTGTGGCACACACCTATAATCTCAGTGACTTGGGAAGCTAAAACAGGGAAATTGCCAAGTTCAAGGCCAGCCTCAGCAACTTAGCAAAACACTGTCTTAAAAAAAAAAAAAAAAAGGCTGGGTTGAGTGCTTCTGGGTTCAATTCCCAGTACAGCAAAAGACTGAAAAACAACACAACAACAAAGCTCTTCCTTTGCCTCATTAATTTTAGGGATAAGATCTTCTTAAATTGTACAGGCTGTGAAACATGAAATCCTCCTGAAGCTTCCTGAGTTGCTGGAATTGTAAGCATGTGCCATTGCACCTGGCTAATTTATTGTTAAATACTGTCTTTAGGGCTGGAGAGGTAGCTTAGTGGTAGAGCACTTGTCTAGCACTTCTGAGGCCCTGGATTTGAGCCTCAGCACTGCAAAAGAGCAAATAAATTACTGATCTAGAGTTTTAAAAGTTTGGCTTTTCATAGTTACATATTTATTCTGTTTGAAATTTATTTTTTGTGTATGATGTGAGGTATGGATCAACCCTCCCCATATATTGTAAAACTGTTCCTTCTATGCTCTTACATTATGTAATTGTTTCATATAATACAACTTTGAGTGGTGATGGGAGTCTCCTGTTGAGCTTTATGTGTGTGTTGGCAAATACAGTTAACTGGTCCAGTTTTTTATTCCTGTTTTGTTCCTACTTGCAAAAGAGTGCTCAGAGTCCTAATAAGTACTGCCTTTCAGGCCCCATAATGTGTCCTTGTGTTGTCTAGCATGTCTGGAATTTGTGTAGGCTGTACTGGGGCAGGGAAAGGAGAGTTCCTTTGTCACACAAACAAGGAGAAAGCTTTTTTCCTGTCTCTTCGATTTACCAATGCCTCATCAGAAGCTTTCAGCACTTATGTAAGAAATTTATTTTATTTTTCTTGAATTTGGAGCAAACTTGGAGTTTGTTTTAAAATATTTTAGAATAAGGAGTTGTTTTTGCTTAAATTTGCTTAAATATTGTATTTTCTGTAGTCATAGAAATCTCTGAAGTTCTTGAATGTGTTCCTTTATATTCTTGGCTTTTTGTGGCGTTGCATATTGTTTGGAAAGGTATTAGTGGGCTTTGGCATATAGGTTAACTTTTTAAAAATAACCTCCATCTCTTATCTTCCTTTTTCCTTCTTTTAAAATCATTTCCATGTCTTAGGTACTGTCTTATACTACAATGAAAAAAATGAGGAAGAGGTAAAACAAACAAAAAACTAGCTTAATGAAAAATTTAAGTGTATCCGTAACAAATAGCAAGAGTAATAAACTTGGGAGGGCAGAAGGGAAAAGAAAGGAGATTGTTTATTTGTTCTTTATGTGTTAGGACTTCCAACGTGTCTTTTTCTTGTATTTCTTGCAGATAGCTAGGGGCAGCCTGGACTCTCTTTCTACCTGTTCAGGTTGTTCAGGAGGGAGTCTCGGGGTTGATGGCCAGGAGGAAGGACTCTGTTGAGAAACTATATAGCTACGGGCTTTGTGCTTCTAGCTCCTTTCTTTCTTGAGTACTTGATCCAATTTAGTGCTGGAAGAGTCAGCTCTGATAAAAGTTTTAAAGTCTTAACAGATCATGCTCTGGACATTAATAAAATTAATACAATTCTGTAGTTTTTATGTGTATATGTGCTTTTACTTCACGAATATAATGGATATTGTTCATAAATGGTTATATGTTAGAACTAATTTGATTTGAAATTAGTTATTCAGAATTAAAAGGTATTTTAATTCCTTTAAAATTTCATAAATGATTAGTTTAGGCTCTATAAATTATGTTTCTCTTTGGTACTTACACATTTCATGATTTTTTTGACTTCTCAGTAAGTGCTGATTTCTCATTGGCAGTGATTATAAATAATAGTTCTATATTGACTCTTGTTTCTTGCCTGAAATACTGACATAAAAAAAAAAAAAAAAAAAAAAAAAAAGAAAGAAAGAAAGGCTCTTGTGCCAGGTGTGGTGGCACAACCTATAACCCCAGCAGTTTGGTTGGCTGAAGCATGAGGATCCTATGTTCAAAGCCAGCCTCAGAAACTTAAGAGAGGCCCTAAGCAACTTCTTAGTGAGACCCTGTCTCAAAATAAGAAAAATAAAAAGAGCTGGGAATGTAGCTTAAGTGGTTAAGTGCCTCTGGTTCAATCTCCAGTATATATATATATATATATGTGTCACAAAAAAAGCAGCCTCCCCCTTCGCACTTTTATTGGCCAGGTGCTGAAGCACTCACCTGTAATCCCAGTAATCCCAGCTACTTGGGAGGCCAAGGCAAGAGAATCTCAAATTTGTGATTAGCTGTAGCAATTTAGTGAGAATCTGTCTTAAAAAATGGTTCCCTACTGCTAAATTTGACTAGCTTAAAATGCCTGTGGTAGAGCACTCCTGGGTTCAATCCCCAGTATCCACAAGACACACACACACACACACACACAAAGTCTCTAGTCAAAGGTTTAGGGTGGAAGTGCTTCTGATTCTGATTGGCTTATATTATATCATTGGCATCTTTAAGTTTATTTAGGAAAAATAACCTATGTTAGTGTGTAAAATGGTTGAAGGGATAAGCTTTCCAAATTCCTCTCTGAGTGACTTTTTGGCTTTGGAACACACATTCGTATTTCTACTTTTTTTTTTTTTTGGGCCAGGGGCCTTTTACCATTGAGCTACATCCCTATCCCTTTTTATTTTGAGACAGGGTTTTGCTAAATTGCCCTGTCTCAAAGGCTGGCCTGGAATTTGCAATCCTTCTGCCTTAGCCTAGTCATGAGTTGCTGGGATTATAGTGGGATGCTACCACACCTTGCCATTAAATTTTCATTCGATTTCTCAGGATACATTATAATTATAGAGCAAAGAAAGAATCTACTAGCCACCAACTAAAAATTTGGTCTGTTGATTAAAATGCTTTAATACTGTTGGATGTGGTGGCTTATGCCTGTAACGCCAGCAGCTGGGAGGCTGAGGCAGGAGGATCATGAGTTCAAAGCCAGCCACAGCAAAAGTGAGGCACTAAGCAACTCAGTGAGACCCTGTCTCTAAATAAAAAACAAAATAGGGTTGGGGCTATGGCTCAGTGGTTGAGTGCCCCTGGGTTTAATCACCAGTACCAAAAAAAAAAAAAAAAAGTTTAATACT